TTTGAGGTTGTATGTCATCTTCTACGAGACGAGTTATATATATCTAATGGTTTCACTACCGAAGCGTAGCGTTGTCGTAACTCATTATCATTATAATACAATAGTACGTCGTCTATTTCACGTCAGAAATTCCTATCAGCGTGTCTATTTACTCTTGGAAGGGCGTAAATATAAATGCCTGGTAATCTATACAACGCCATTTTATAAATAATTTTTATAAATCTTAAAAACACAACAATTTATCCGCCGTATAGCGACTTAAACGGTCTCGAATCGCTGGATAGCGCTAAACGGGCTACGAACAACGCGATTTTTCAAGCGTTTAAATTTTACACGGTGGATAGCGAGTTAAACGGTGGTTAGCAACTTAAACGCCTTCAAACAACCAGCCCCTGATCACTAAAATTGTTGATTAGTCACTTAGATTAATTGTGAGCACTAAAATTTGTTATTAGCTATAGCTCAATTAATTGTTGAACATTCAGTGGTTGATCAACACTTATTAAATAGACTGATTTAATAGGCTGATTAATCATGCAGCCCATGCCTATTATTTTTTGATAATTATATTATAAATGTTGTGGTATATTACTTCAAAGCGAAAGTAAGTCATTATTCAAATCTTATTTCATCAATTGGGAAACGGCATGCTGACGTAGGTACGATGGCGAGTATCGCTAGAATGCTTCACTGGTTGAGTTGAAGTGTTTTGTGAAAGAAACCCTGAATGCCGAAGGCAGATGGGAATCACGTGGGGGAGATGTGAAGTTATTTCAGTCTGACGAGTTGGGAATTGTTTTTAAGTGGTATGGCCTTAAATCTAAAAAACTTTTAATTCAAGCAGATTATGAACATTATTTTGAGAACAAATTTAAAACTTTAGTGAACACATGCAACGGAGAGCAATATGCATGACAACACGAGAACGAACAATACAAATACTGAAAAAAGTGCCGAAGGACCCACTGCAGCATCTGAGGTATGTGCTATGCAAACAGACTTTTTGCTTCAGATATCGAGGGTGTGAAACTGGTTATGACAATATTAGAATCTAGATTACTTTTCCAGATCGAATCTGACTCCATAAACGCATTTCGGAGTAAACAAATAGATATGAAAGCTGTTTTGCTGCAACAGGAAAAGGCTATTTGTGTCCGGTTTGAATGACGAATACAATCACAGGGAGCCCGGTCACTGCTGTTACGTCATGCTATTATATATGTATATAATTACGATAAGGCTTGCAACTCTCTCGCAAAAAAATATAATACATACATTAATAACATTGCTTAAAACAAAAATACTACGCTAGTTTCTTAAAAAAAAACTACATAAAAACACCTTGGATATATTGACAATATTTATCTGTCGTTTTTAGACTTGAAAAAAACTCTAAAATGCTCAAATTTTGCGAATTAAAAGTGTGTTTTCGTTGAAATTTTGCGAAACAGAGGCGGGATGCAATTTACTCGACAAACGTCATCATCGGAGAATTCGTCGGCAAACTTCTGATTGGCTGTGGCATGTTCGGAAAATTACGAAGGTCAACTCAATCAAGAAAAAAGATCTTCGTAATTTTCCGAACTTGCCACAGCCAATCAGAAGTTTGCCGACGAATTCTCCGATGATGACGTTTGTCGAGTAAATTGCATCCCGCATCTGTTTCGCAAAATTTCAACGAAAACACACTTTTAATTCGCAAAATTTCAGCATTTTAGAGTTCTTTTCAAGTCTAAAAATGACAGATAAATATAGTCAACATATCCAAGGTGTTTTGTATGTAGTTTTTTTTAAGAAACTAGCGTAGTATTTTTGTTTTAAGCAATGTTATTAATGTATGTATTATATTTTTTGCGAGAGAGTTGCCAGCCTTATTGTAATTATATACATATATAATAGCATGACGTAACAGCAGTGACCGGGCTGCCTGTGATACAATTCAAAAATTAAGTGCATGAGAAACTCGACGTCATTAGTTACGTCACTAGGCAGTCACAATGAGATATGCACGCGCATATCAAGCAGTCAGTTTTGCACGTGTTTTCAAGCAAATACTCTGTGTAAATTTTTTAAAAGGAAAAATTTAGATTTTTTATTCATATTTTTATACGTAACCTCCTCCCTGTCCGTGACATCAAAAATCATAGTCCCGCACTAATTTAATTTAAATTATAATATAAGTATGATATAACGAGCAATTTGATTGGCTACCGCGCGTGCATTGTGAGGCCATAATGCACGCTTCTGGCTTTTGAAGTTTTTGTTGCTAAGCAACATCTTAAATAACATGTAAGGAGAATTTCATTATTGATCAAATAAATAAATTTTGTTGTTGCCCTATAATTTCTTCTTATATTATAAAAGAATTAAAAAAGCTCGTCGCGTGCCTTTATGGTGTAATAATGCACGATGGGGGAATGTTGGGAGAATACGAGAGAAGCTTGTAAAACACGAGGCGTAGCCGAAATTTAATTCTTAAATAGAATAACATTAACACTAGCTTAGGAGACAAAATGTAATTAAACGAATTTTATTTAACAGTTCCCACTAATGAAACTAGAACCACTACTATTACATTTATATTAAATTTTAATATCAAAAGAGTATAAAGAAGAGTAATTAAGGTGGTTTATCTGCGAGACAACTTTGGTTCTGTCCATTAAGTGATATAAAAAAACAACAGTCTTTTACCGCCCGCACTGGTGGCCTATAGTGGTTAAGGTGGCTCAATACAGTTTTCAAAAATTCCATCGTTCATCACTTTGACACGTTCAAAAAATGCATTTTTACGATTTATTCTAGAGATATTGGGGGTTTTATGTATTTCGATGTTTCTACTTTTGAATCGTATTAGTTTTAGTAATAAATCGTCGCGACATACCTAGTAATGTACGTCCTGTCCTAGTAATTGCAAATCGAGGCTAAAAACACCTTTTGAAAATGGCCTTTGGCTAATTATTAAATGTTGAACTTTAGCAATATTGTTCATCAGATATTTAGGGTGAAAATCGTTTCCATGCAAATGGCTAAATCAACTAAGGACAAATATCATTAAACAAACATTGAGAAAGGCAGATAAATAAGAATTGGTCCTTCATTAAAACTACTGGAAAATACCTGTTTGTTTTTGTAAAGCACAGTGTATTCTGAACGACCATTTTATGCCTATATGCCTAATAATGCCTTAGAATTTTGAGGTGAAATTCTACATTCAATGATGCCAAATATAATTTAATTAACCTTGAGAAAACTGCTGAATCAACAATTAAACCTTCAATGTAATGGATTATGGAAGAATATTTTCCTATTTTGAGATGTACACTGCAATGAGAATGAGGAGTTTTGGCAATTATTCATTCAGAAAATCATGGTGAAGTAAAATGTTACATCAACTGAGGTCAAATATCATAAAACAAACCTTGAGAAAATAAAGGTAGTGACACAAGCACTGGCCCTTGATTGTCAGTATTAGGAATTACCAATTTGTTTTCATGAAGAACATTGTATTATGAATGACCATTTAATGCTAGTATTCTTTGAATATTTAGGTAAAATTCTGCATTATGATAAAATAGACATCATTGAACCTTGTGAAAGCTATTAAATCAACAATGACACTGCCAATGTAATTATCAGAAGAATATCTTTCCTACTTTGAGATGTACACTCCTCCAATGTGATTTTAGCAATATTGTTCATCAGATATTTAGGGTAAAAATCTTTTCCATGCAAATGGGTAAATCAACTGAGGACTAATCCATTAATCATAATTAATTAATCGTTGTTTTTAGCCTCGATTTGCAATGACTAGGACTAGGATTTTTAATTCGAAAATAAAGAGAAGGAACAGAAGTTCGTTGTAAGTAAAAAAGAGTGCAATTTCAGGCGAATGAATAACTAAAACGTAAATTCAAGGCAAGTTAATGAACCTGCTACCTGGCAAACCTGTGATTATAATTATATATAAAGATATTTTTCCGTGAATGAAAAAGTGTAAGACTGGTTCCTTTTTCGGAAACAATGAAGGAGCATAGAACTTCTTTGTAAACTAAAATCGGTGCACATTAATTGCAAATATAATCTCTGTACTACTCTCTAATTTATTTAAGTATCCGGTATCCGGTGTCCGGTATCCGCTATCTTGTATCCGTGTTTTCCGCCGTGCCCTGGTAAGTCCATACGCGGTGGTTCAAATTAAAATGGGAAGTAAAAAACTTCCCCAGTTTCAAGACACAACGAAAAAAGGTTCTAATTAAAAATGCATTTTCCGGTCTCAAAATAAAATTGAAAATTGAAAAACGCGCTGTTGATATGAAAAGGTTCTTTTGAGTAATCTACAGGTTGCAAATGAAAATGGAGATTACTAATCTTTGCTAGGATCAAAACGTCTTCCGAAGGAAAAATATCTTTTTTCACTGCCCAAATGACAAAAATAAAAGCATATGAAGTTTAAGCTTCGAGGGGGCCTTTTCTGAGTCGATAACTGTTGAAAAGCTTGGTATGTCTTGATTTTAATGTTTTCTCACAGCTCAAGACTCAACACGCCATTTTTAACTATGTTTTGAAAATGTTAATTATGCCCTTTTGGATAGTCACGACACCTTTAACAAAATTTTAGCTACAGTTAACGGTAAATACCTTTTTATACACAAACAGCTTGACTACGTGATTAAAGTTAACTAGAATTTAACTACCTTCGGATTAAGTAGTTAAAACATAGTTAAGAGTTTTATCAAGTACAATTGGCCTCAGCCATCGATATTTAATGGTATAATGTGAGATGACAGGAAACTAGATAAATAATAAAAACGAAGTTGCACCTTTTCCCAACTCCGCATATCGATCAACCTGCACGAAAATTGTCTAACTTTAAGCATTCTTGCAGATAGGTGCGTATAGTTACCCATCGTCGCATATTTTCTTTGCAAAGGGCAGACTTCCTTTTCGATCCAAAACTAAAGCCAAATATTACTACATAATCCCGTAAATTGTTTGCCAGATGTATTTTTCCAAAATATTACATAAATGATTTATGTTTCTGAAGAATCTCGTCCAAAATAATTCTAATCTACCCCTTATAAGTGATGAAAAAGATTATGAAAAAATAAAGGTTAGAACAATGAGAGTTCTTTCCTTAACGAAGGCCAATTGCAGTACCAAAGGCATCTGTCCAGCGATCACTTGAGGTGTACGTGCCACATCCTCCAAAATGAATCTCGGTAAGGAAGAAAAAGTTGTTGGGCATCTGACGGTGACCGTAAGAGGGAATTCCAGTGTTACGCCAGTCTACTGCGACACCACGTTGTTCATAAACAAGGTTCCCACTATGATAACCGTTAATGGGAATTTCGCGATGGTTTGGGAAGAACGCAAAAAAAGAGTTTGGACTAGAGCCACAGCTTGTGAAATTTACACTTCTGCCATTTGATCTAAAAGCGATATTTTTCAGAAAGGCAGTTTAGAACCTCGAATTAACTCTTTTTTATTTTGACATTAATTCGAATAACTGTTTAAATGCCTAGAGTAACCGTCACTAGTGCATAATATGTGAATGATCAAGTGCTACCTTTCGTTTTGTACTGTTAGTTCCAACTCAGTAAAGATACGAAATGCATAAATTCTAGGTCTACTGACTATTGTTTCCTTTAAAACGTATGGAATGAAATTACATGTATATGATACCTGAATCCTTGAACAATCCTGGCTCGCGCTATGGATGCAGGTAATATACCAACATAGATATAATCACCAAGACCAGCGTTCAGTGGACGAGTATAGCCGACGTAGTTGTGCATCAGTACCCCGATTTTCTGTCTGGAATAGCGTGAAAGTTGGGTTATGACGGTGAATGGTTGTAGGCCATCTTTCTTTTGAAAACGAAAAAGGACCTTTGTCTTTTTTTTGAAAATTTGTCTTATCAGGCTTGGAAGTTTTGATCGCCTAACAGCCTCGCGCGGTATAAAGGTATATCCTCCACCAGCCCTCGCCATCTCGCAGTAGACTGCGATCACCGTGTTATCCACCAAAATGTCATAAAGACCACTCAATGCATTGGGTGCACTTGTTTTGATTTCAAGACATGACCTTTTGTAGGTTGTCGAAGTCATACCAGGGCTTAACGTTATTGCCTTAAAAATTAAACATATTTCAAAAATCCTGATTGTTTGTACGTTTTGATAAAATATAAAACAATAGAATCTCCGTGACTGTAAAAAGAAAACATGTTGAAAAAATATAAATTTCTGCGTTTCGACTAAATTATAGTCATCGTCAGAAGAATGATGATGATATCAGATGATGATGAAATAATATATGTACAAGTATTAGGACGACATTGTATAAAAAAAGTATACTCTTCTCAACAACTTTTAGTAACCCTAACACTTTAACGTTCTCTGGCACACCTAGCACTATAAAATTCTTTAAGATGCCAGCTTTTTCAATCGTTTTTATTAAGAGCCTCCCAAAATAGGGCTTGCGCAAAAAAAGTACTCATTGCAAACACAATTTAATCACACTGGGTGAAAATATCAGTGGACTGTGTTGCACAAGCTGTCAAAGTTTCAAAACATTTGGTGCACGCATAGGCAAACGCAAGATCTTTAAAAACAAGATCTTCTACCATTCTCGCAGGTGGAGCAGCATCTGAGCATGCATAAAATTGATTTAATTCACAAAAAGAACCACGTAAACGGTGGAAGAACCAGAGAACGTTAAAGTAATTACAGTTACTAAAGTTTTTGCCAATCTCGCGCGCATCTTAATCTTAAAGGCCGGCGCACACTAGAGCTATGCTCTAATACCAAAAAGTCATTCGTTGCCATTTGGCGTAAGGCAGTTGCTCTCGTGTGCGGGTGACTTTTCCGGCGACTCTCGTCATTCGTGCCACTTACGGCAAATATCTCGCATGTTAAATGATAAATTCTGCCTCGCGTGCCAAAATCTTTCCGTGTGCGGCAAAATGAGAGCTATCTGCTTATGGATTGTCTTAAGCGCATGCGTAAATATACGAAAGTAAACATCCACAAACAAGATTATGGATGAAAGTGAAGACAAAGAGGTGTTGTTATTTTTGTTGCTGTTGCGTTGCCGTCGTCAACGATTACGAGCTTTGAATCGTCGTACGTGGACGAAGCGATGGATCATGAGACGACATCGTCAAGGAGCTTACGCATATCTTGTTCAAGAACTAAACTCAAAAGAACCAGAGCAATTTCGACAAGTATACCATCGTCTTGACAGGCAATTAATTTGCGATAATTTTAACGGTGAATCCATTGATAGTAAAGCGAGACACGCAAAAGCGGTTTTCGATCAGCCCGACGGAACGTCTCACTGTCACAATAAGTTTCCTTGCAACAGGTCAGGTTTCTACACATTTTTATATTAAAAGCTCGTATTGTACCAATTTCAGACAAATGAATGGTATCACACATTAACAAACTTTTCAAAATTTAGGTGAATCATTTAGAAATTTAGCTTTTCAGTTCAGGATGGGAGAAAGAACTATATCTGGTGTCATTGAAGAAACATGTTTGGCACTGTATGAGACAATGAAGGGAAACTTCTTGAAGGTGTTGTATTGTTAATTGTTGTTTTACTTGCAAACGTCTCAGTAGAAGCGCTCCAAAAAACTTTGAACAGTTAATTTCCTAACTTCCAAAAATATTGTTCACTACAACCACTGTTGATAATGTCTGCTGAATATAGAAACCCAAGTGAAGTCCAACATAAACAAAATCATATCTGCGGAAAATGTACAACAACATAATCAAACGTTGCTTGCAGGCGACCTTTTGAAAGCCATTTGAATTTATTGTATGGGCAAGTTCTTTATTGTATGGGAAAATGACAAAGCCATTTAGTTACACAAATTAATAATTGATAAATCATTATTCAACATTTAATAATAAATATTTATTCAATATTCCATCAACAATAATTCATTATATAACATATGTATATATAGAATTATTAAAAATAATTATCAAATAATGATTTACCAATAATTATTCAACATCAATATATGTAATGAGTTATTCAACATGTAAACTGTTTTCTTGCTGCGCATGCTAGGAACAACTCAGACCAGTTGCTTTGAACAATATTGCACAGAGGGGTACTAGATGCACTTGGTAAGGTCTGCTGCACCCTTCGGAAATTCATCTTTGGTGGATTGGTTGAACACCAGTTGTGTTGTGGACCAGGAGCTGATGAAAATGCTGTGTTTCCCTCTTGGTATGACAGTGTTCCCATTTGAGCTTGAAACAATACATTGTTTATATGGTGTTTGGCCACTGAATTTTCATTCTGCCAATAATTCAGTCACATATCGAGCAAATGAACTGATTGATTCATCATGGGTGTCAGCTATTTTATGCCGTTTGTTTTGTCTTTCAGCCAATGAGGCCTTTGATTAGCTCAAATTTCTGCCCTGCCTGTTTTCTTCGGGATAATTCTTACCCGTTAATGGCTGTTTCGTTGGCACTGCAGGTGATGTTTCACTCTCAGGATCATCATCATTTGCCAACAAATCATCATCAATAAGGTCTGCATCATCAATGCTCTCATTCACTTAGCTGCTCTTTTGACTTGGCACTATCTGGAGCGGCATTTAACATTGTATCTACAGTAAAGGATTCTCATTATTTATGGTTTAGGGATTGAGTGGTGAATTTATGGAGGGGGCAGCGCCTCCTGCCATTAGAATATCTTTACAGCTTCAATTAAAATACTCACTACATCTAGACTTGAATTAAGTTGACATTCGAATGGCAATTTATGGTTTAAGGAATTCCAGCTTATCCCGTATCCAAGAAGCACGCCTGCTTAGAGATTTTCTCCAATACCACTGCTTTGAGGTTTTTTTGCTTTTAGTTATTTGTGCAATAGCGCATTCCCGTTTCTCTCTGTAATTCATTTTGCGTTGTTTGCACCGCCATATTGGATTTTACTTTCGTATACAAGACAACCCATGAGCAGCAGGCCTTCATTTTGCCGCACACGGAAAGATTTTGGCACGCAAGGTAGAAACTATCAAACATGCTAGATATTTGCCGTAAGTGGCACGAATGACCAAAGTCACCGGAAAAGTCACCCGCACACTAGAGCAACTGCCTTACGCGAGTGGCCACGAACGACTTTTTGGTAAGCACATATATAGCTCTTGTGTGCGCCCGTCTTTATATAGATAACTTTTGCGAAGAGTATACGCTTTTCACACCCTGTATAGTAAACGATGTCACTACGATTAAGTTATACGCGAGCAAGTCTTTAAATGTTGTAAGTTGGGCCAATGCAGGGTCTGTAGAGATTTGGGTTTGATCACAGAACAGATTGGGCATACAGTGCAAATAATAATTTAAATCCATACTACTCCGCTGCTTTTGTCAGGTTTAAGAATGCAATACTTCGCAGTCTTAAATCCTTAAGTGTTCTGATGCGTCCGGTGTCTGTATTAAGCTGTTTCTCATCAAAGTCAAGGTAATTTGAATAGATTTTCTGCTGTTTGATATAGTAACTAAGAAATAAGCTATTACTGGTATGTTGATTCCAAATGGATTACAGCGGTGACAATTATTTCTGTTTCTTTGAGTCTTTTAGCTAGACAATACTCAGGCAAATCCGGCTAAGTATGGATTTTGCTCCTTTGTTAACGTTCACCAGACAGGTAAGTTCGTAATGAATATCATTGGAGTATGCAATGCAGTTAAGACTGAATGTTCGAGCAAGAGAAGGAGTGTTTTGATTAAAACATGCGAAAGAGTGTTTTGTTATAATTGTTTAAACGCGAGGCGCAGGCAAGTCTATACCCAATCTTCTGCTCCGAACTGTGTATAATCGAAATCTCGATTCGTGTCCGTTTGTCAGATGGATGTCGGTCCATTCTGGGCAAAAGGTCGATCATCAAGTCACTTTTAAATTTACTGCAGTGGACTGAAAATATTATATATGGGTATATTGCAATTCTTAAATTTTGGGAAGTAAAAAATTTTTACAGAAGATCAAAATTATACATTATATACATCTTTATACAACATACATACATCAAGGAGATTAACGTTTCAATTTCAGAGGAGGACTTTCCTGAATTTATCGATTTCGGCTCCCATTCTCATAGCAATGAACTCTTATTGGTATAGCCTTGTGGTTCGTATATGACTTAATTTACAGTATAAAACATTGAATATATACGCAATGTAACTCCGTATACACAGTAATGCAGGGTCAGAACAGAAGATCGATAAAACGGGGTCATTTCTTTCTTGTTAATAACCAGTAAAGAATAAATATTGTAACTGTTTACGCAGGTTTACAATTAACAGTTCAATCTTATGCGCACGTTTAATGTTCAAATCTAAAGCCCGTGAGTTTATCGGCTAAAATATGTGACTTCAGTCATAATACTAGACAAATAGGTATAGGTTCTATATTGTATTGCAATTATTTATGCACGATCAAACAGGATATGGAAATTTTCATAACAGCGATATTTCTTTTCGCTTTTACTCAGATACTGAGATACATGCATATATAGCCATATACATGAAGGCAACTTGACGGGAGTGCTCTCATGACATGAGTTTATCGTCTATGTGGTTCTTATATGAACATATGAACTTTATTGTCAATATAGAGCGGTGCTTCAGTTAATGCATGAGTTTATCGGCTGTATGGTTCTCAAGTTCTTAAGGCCCACACAGACAGGACGCGAATTGGCAACGTGGCGCGAATTTTCAACGCATTTATTTTTCAAAAGCAAATAAATTTTAACTTATCAAAATTTTCTTGTAGATTACATAAAAATAATAAATTTTGAAAACTGATCCGACATGTCTTTCTGTTTTTACATAGAACGATGCATCAAGAGGATGAACCTTTATTGTTTAGTCTACAGGCATGCTTTCATGAGTTTATCGGCTATACTATAAGAATGGTTTACCTTATATGAATATCACGGTAAACAAATAAGGCATATGGACTATGGACTATATTGTAGACTATAGCACCGCAACACTTGGGGAACTGCCGACTAAGTGACAGGACTAAACCCATTTGCCACAAGCTGAAACTAAAATCATTGTTAACATAGCGCTTTGGAAGTATTGGATTTTCAAATTGAATAAGAACCTTTCAAAAATAAAAAGGAAATGCAACTGAGGATGATTTATTCTACATACAATCTATTCTCATCAGTTTTATCATTGTTACATGTTTTACGAAGTTTATATTGTACTATTGCTTCCTATAGTCACTTCAAATAGATCAAGTTTGCATCGGTTATCGGAGGCAACTTACCATAAACACACCAGATACGTTGAGTAAAAAGCAAAACAAGGCAAGGTGATTCATGCTGCAAAAGAAAAATGGCATCGTAAGTACTGTATCTACGTATATGCATGAAAGCAGTTATGAAGGCATATGAAGGCATATGTACGCGCGATATTCACATGCAGTGTAGTAATGGTTTGAATACGGTGAGCTAAAAAAGCAGAGCTCCTTTGCCAGTATCACCAGCTTCATTGAACATTAATAGCCACCAATACTATGTTTCCGTCAATAATATAGCGCGATGCATGCATGCAAAGCGTTTCGAAGTATATCTGATTTTCACCTGTGTATAGAATTCTTGAAACGTCCTGGTTAAACATGTTATTGTTCGTAATAGCTACATAGCTTACCTGCTGTATAGAGTTTAGTTCAGTCTTCTTGTGCTCTGCGTTCAGATCAACGCGGACTTGGTATGCGAGAAGACCAGCAATCGTCCACATAATATCTGAGACAAAAACAACCCCTCCCCCTATTTCAATGTTGTTTCTAATATAACCTGTTCAACCTTAAAGTAACGTATTGGGAATCAATGGCTACACATGCCCGCGTCATTTTAGGGCAAATTCACACTTCGTTAGCGTTAGTACATGTCCCACAACATTGAAATAGGGGGAAGGGGGGCATAATTTGAAAAGTCTCAATATATTTTGTGGACGATTGCAGGTGCTTTAATTGTAAAAAATAATGTTGCATTCAGTTATTGTATAGAGGTCAGCTAAGAAAAACGCGAGCGCGCGGGGGTGCTTGGGGTGGTTTTGCCAAATTTAGCACCTGGCAAAAAATGAATTCAATATGGAAACAATCAAATGAATTATACAATATAATACAATACAATAAAATTATATATTATAATTACTTGAATTAGATCCAAGTTTTTACAGATACACCGGTTTTTAAAAATGTTATAGGTTGATTAATATTGAACATTTCATGTTACAAATAACAAAATATATTCGATAAGTATAACGTATGGAATCAATTTACTTTTAAACTCAAGTTGTTGCCATATCGCGTTGAATACATCTCGGATAATATATTGAACCTGCATGTAAACAAAGGAATATAAGTTTATCTTTTATGTCATGGACAGATATTAAATGCGCTCGCTTTTCCCAATAGTAAATATGTAAATACGGCAGGCGATTATTCGAGTGGTCTACGATATAGTCACTCCGATGGAAAATATTTAAATAAAAGTACCTTCAGATGATTCTTCACCAAAGGAAACGTTCATAATACTTGGCTAGCCAGTCGACAGTCGATTCAGTAAAACTATAAATAATGAAAATAAAAATTGCAAAATACAAGCGTTTTCCAGAAATCGGTCACAATTTGCCAGAAATCGGTCATTTTCTGCCAGGTGCTTCCTCGCTAAAACAAACCTTCCAAGCACCCTCGCGCGCTTGGTTTTTTCAGCTGAACTCTATACAATACCTGGTTGCAACGTTATACTTACTATTAAAGCCCCTGGGTACGAGGCTGGGGATTTAAGATTGCTCATTTAAATATAAGAAGTTTATAAAAGCACATCAAAGAACCGAGAATATATCTTCAAGACGAATATTTCGATATAATTAATTTAAATGAAACTATGTTAGATCCTACCATTATAGACTATGAAATTAAAATTAATGGCTACAACATTGTAAGAAAGGATCGAAATCGGCATGAAGGGGAGTTGCAATTTATCTGCGCAATTCTTTCAACTATATATAGTGAGAGAAGATCTTACTGATGAAAATCTTGAGACATTAACACTTGAGATCATGAAGCCGAAAGCCAAACCATTTATCCTCTTAATTAGTTAATAGTTGGTATCGACCACCGAATAGTTCACAAGAATGCCTAAATACTTACGAGAATTTAATTACCCAAATGGACAGAAAAACAATATTTTTAACTGTTGCCGATATTCATGCTCCACGGATTACTAAAAGAGCAAGAAACTACCCCGTGGATAACAAATAATATTAGACAAGTCATGCGTCAAAGAGATTACTTGAAGAGAAAGGCAGTAAAAACCGGATCGAAACAATTTCATGACACGTACAGGAGAACTCGAAACGATTTAAATAGGTTAATTATAAAAAATACAAAAGCTGAATATTTTATGAATGCCTTGAATGAATGCGAGAATAATCCTAAAGAAATGTGGAAAGCGGTTAATAAACTCACTAACAAAAGCTCAAAACCTACCTTAATCTCATCAAGTGTTAACAAACAAACTTGAAATTGCAAATGCTTTAAATACTTATTTTAGTGAAGTTGGCCCAAAACTGGCTATAATGAAATACCGAACAGCGTTAGGATCGACGCCGGAATCTTATTTAACTTATACAAGTTCAGAATTTTCTATACAAAATATTTCTCAAATAGAAGTTTACAAATTACTCTCTGTAATGAGAACATGTAAATCAGCAGGTCATGATAGAACCTCTCCAAAACTACTCAAAGATGCAGCTGAAGAAATAGCTCCCTCATTATCAGCGATATTTAATGCTTCAATAAACTCGGGCATATTTCCTGACGACTTTAAGATCGCGGTAATCTCGCCAATACATAAATCTGATAGCAAACTAATATGTTGCAATAATAGACCTATTTCAGTTTTATCATGTATTGCAAAAGTTTTTGAGAAATTAATTTCAGAACAACTTTACACGTACGTAAAGTCGAACAATTTGCTCAATGAACAACAAGCAGGATTTCGGAGGAAACACTCCACTCAAACATCTCTCCTCCGTGCTACAAATCAATGGCCAATAAAGCCTTTGATTGTGTAGATCATAACATTTAACAACAAAAATGGACTTTTATGGAATAAAAGGCCGTGATCTAGCTTTGTTTAAGTCCTATCTTACCAACAGGATCCAAATTTACAAGGAAGATCAAACTATGTCTAAGGAAAGACTAGTTGAATGTGGTATACCACAAGGTTTTATCTTAGGCCCCATGCTGTTTCTGCTACATATAAATGATCTTCCGAACTGTCTATCATCATCCTCAGCATATATGTTTGCTGACGACACAAATATTTCCACTCAAGGTAAAACTGAATTTGAAATACAAGAGCGCTTAAATATCGACTTGGAGAATGTGCACTAATGGCTCACTTCTAATAAACTTACCCTTAATAAAAAGAAAACAGAATATATGGTTGTTCGTTCACGACAACGCATTCCAAACATTTTAGCAGACCCTATAATCAAACTTGGTGATTCAACGATAAAGCGAGTCAACAAAACTAAAACGAAGGGGTCATTCTAGATGAGCACCTCTCGTGGAACGAACAAATACAAAATATCGTTTCAAAATCTTAAAAAGGTATAGGAATGATTTGGCGAATTAAGAAATTTGTCCCCCAGTCGACCTTGTTAAAAAATATACAATGCTATTGTGTTGTCACATTTCGATTACTGCAGTCTTGTTTGGGACAACTGTTCTGAGTATTCCTTAAAAAAACTGCAAAAATTACAGAATAGGGCGATTTCGGGTAGAACATATGAAACCAGGACTAAAGATGTTCTAAGAGAGCTCAATTGGTCCCCATTAAGTTAACGAATAAAGGGAAACAAATATATTTTTATGCACAAAATCAAAAATAATACTATGCCAAAATCAGTAACAGAAATGTTTCAAAGGAGAACCAAGCGTATCAGTTACGCAGTAATAATGTAAAATTTTCTCTGGGAAAACCAATAACAAATTTTATGAAAAAGAGTATCAGTTACTCGGCTGCATCCTTAGTTATGGAACAGCTTACCAAATGAAACTAAGGAATAATACATTTTTGACTGCAGTTGATGTCTCTAAATAATTAGAATTTGTAAATAGCATGTAGGCTAATTGTAGTAAAATAGTTGTTTGATATAGTTGTTGATTAATTTGATATTTGTATCAGAATTGTAGTAAGTAGTTCACAAACGGCTCCTTGAAAAGCAGGAGCCTACGTGCCGTGAAGGACTACCGTTTTCAAATATTTTTAAATAATATAATAATAATTATTCATTATTAATCTATTCGCCATTGATAAATCACGATATTTGCTTAATTAACCTTCTTCAATAATTGTATATTATCGAAAATAACCAAGTTTGAACGGCAATCATTCTTGTTTGACGATCCAGTGTAAAATTTTCTGCGAGTTAAAAAACTGAAAAAAAGTATATACTAACTTAAAAGCGTTTTGCCTCATGTCTGGCAATCCTTGATCCAGATGAATCTTTAACAACGCAGTTTCGTTGGTCTGAACTTTCTGTTGAAAATTGCCTGTTGAAAACAAATTACGTATACAGCAAAATCTCGCTGACCTGCCACATTCAAGACAGCAATGCAAAAACTGCAAAAAGAAAGCTTTACGCACCTCTTTGCACCTATTTTGTATACATATATGAAGTACTCTATAATTTACCGCTGGAAAATTACGCGGGCGCGTATGCGTCTGGAATGCGAAAAATATTATATAGGAACTAGAAATAAATGCATACAGCACACCTCGCCATTTTCAAACAAGAAAAAATATCCTAGCCGGGCCTTGATTAACCACCCGATCCGAACGGATACATTCGTGCGGATAATGGTAGAAAACGCGGGTAAATTCTTGCGGATAATGGTAGAAAATGCGGGTAAATTCTTGCGGATAGCGGTAGAATATGCGGGTAAATTGTTTTATTATCAAACAATCGTAAAATAACTTACTTTAGAAGAATAATCGCTTAAGTTAAGTTACAGATTTTATTATTTCGATTTTGGAAGGTTGGCAAGAAATATAATCATTTTAAACCCCGGTTCTTTTTAATGAGTTTAACTTCGCACAAACTCATTGATAATGTGGTCCTTCAAAAAAATGATTTCACTCGAATCTGTCGCTTTCGTCCATGAAGTTCAAAATTGAAAAGCACTCAAAAAGCAAGCGGCAAAATGCCTTAAATTCTACTATATGTTCCCGTCGTTGACTTATTTTGCTTTCGGGAACGTCTCAAATCCCTATGTCCAATTTTCGCTTTAGAAAAGAAGAAAAAGTTTAGGCTATTGGGCTAAAGGACAATAAAGGACAAAAAGACTAGATGTTTTAAAACTCCAGACACAATCAATGTTGTCACATAAGAATGAAAACATGAAGCAAAAACATGGATGAAAATACTGTCAAGCAATATCGGCCTTGTAGTTTCCCGGAAACGCGAAGCTTAAATTACCTATTTTTCTCGTTTCACGTGAACACGATTCAGTTCCACAAACGCTCACTTGCCGGTCTTATAGATGAGACTGGAGAGTTTTAATTCTACATAATTTATAAAGGCTATAGGTGTAGTATAATTATCGTTGTGTTATACTCGTAACTTTAAACATCTGCAATATTTGCAGTTATCCAGCTGATCTGGGTATAAAAATCAACCAAT